ATTCACTGGAAATGTTCTTCCCTAAAATGTCTTAATGAATAGGAAGCTTAAAGATAAATGGACTTATATGAGACTTTCAAGTTTATTAGTTCTTTCTGGTTCTCCAAGGAGTGCAATCGCATCAGTTCCTCCTGTCTGCAGGGGCCACAGATAATTTCCGAAAAGAAAACAAAACCAGTAAGATTTGAATATAGCACAAAAGCTGGAGTACCTGAACCAGAACTGTAGTCCTTTTGCAGCCAGATACCAGTGCTGCTGCATGCTCCAAGCCAAACACAGACCATGCGGATGTGGTTAGCAAAATACCTCACAGAACTACATAACCCATGCAAAGGTGTGCTACCTTGGGTTCACTGCTGCACTGACTTGACCCATGACTTCTGGCTGTTCCAAAGTGTGGGCACAATGTATTGTGCAGGTTGACCAACTGCATGCTGTTAGAAAGCTTCCAGGATCGGACCCTTAAGTGGAGAAACTTCACTCAATGGAGCAGTGATAGCGGGCAGCTTTAGAGGATCCCTTTGCACCAAGTCCCTGTACACATACCAAAAGCAGTCTGATTTTTTAAAAAGAAAAAAGGACTGTGGAGTCAGAGTCTATAATTTCTCCTGTCCAGAAGCCTGCACTACAGAAACGAGGCACAGGAACACTGCTTCAAAATGGCAAACACTTTTATTTAAAGGTGTGCAAAGTGTTTAGAAGAAAATAGACATTTACTGCTTGAACAAATATGTGACAAAACACTGTCTTTGCCTTATCTATTATTTCAGCAACTAGAATACTCATTTATAGGCTGTGAGCTTGTATCTGTCTTTCATTGTATGATTGCACAAAGCCCAGCATGAAGAGGCTGTGATCCCCTCTGACATATAATATGAACAATAAATAGTAAGTTTAAAAAGCAGAAAAAACCTAATGGATGAGAGATTAATAATCAGTTCCAAGTTCTGTACAGTTCTTACTTTTTCAGTCTCAGTGACCTGTGTCTAATGATGGGTAATATTTGGACCACTGCCAGACCACATTGTCAGGTTTGGTATAAAAAAAAATTAGACAGGTTATGCAGGTGTTACATGTGTAGGTATGCTTTCCTAATTGGAAGGAAAGTTCCCCACTGAGGGAAGGGGGTATTCAAAGCCTTCAGGTAGATTTAGGATTCAAGATTTCAGTAGGAGAAAAAGGGGTGGGCCAGACTGTGACCCTTTTTCATATCTGTGTGCCAAGATAAGTATGCATGCCTGCATTTCGGGTTACTTGAATGTATTCCTTGAATGGCTTTAAGTTTCACATGAAAACTTTTTAAAACACAAGCTCTACTATTTAAATCTATTGTTTTATTTTGATCATGATATCAAAGACTAGAAGTGTTTAACATTGGTCCTAGTCACCTGCTGTGGCCCAAAAGCTTGTTATGTTGACCGTACTTTTTTCTTTCTTTGATTTAAAAATAAAATCCAGCACAACAAACATAGTATTGAATACCGTACAAAGCAGGATTATGAAGTCTGTATGTCTTGTGTATTATTGGTCCTTTCTGTCTTTGTAAAAATAAAACTATTGCAAGCCAGGAAGTTTCGAAGGTAGAGCCAAGCTTGAACCAAACAAGAGAGTTGGCTTGGATCTCTGCAACAAGCCTAAGCCAAGCCAATAGACCTGATTGCAATCATTTATGGACAGAAAAATTCAGAGAAGGGTATGCACCAGTAGATTTTTGTGGCAGGAAATAAGGCCACAATGTTCCTCTTTGCTTGTCTCTTTATTTGAAAATAGAGCTAAACCAGATCTTGGGTCAGGCTGTAACTGTCTTCTGCATCCTCTGTTTAAAAGCAAAACATAAAGACCGCTTTTGCTCTAATTGCACAGCTATAGAGGAGTAATGAATTTCCCACATATTTTTTCTGCTCTCTTCATTCTGCACTGCTGTCCAAACTTTGTCCTCTATCAACAGTTTGTCCAGATCGCAGAAAGGGCCTGATTGCCTTTAAGTTTTTACAGAGATTTTAAATTCAAAATTAAATACTTCCAACAACTTACTTTTTTTTAATCTCTTATAACATATGAATAGAAAACTGTCTGCTGACTGAGTCCTTCAACAGTAAAATTCCAGTTCTGAGCTTGGACTTTCAGCCTCTACTTTCAAAAATAATGAATGAGCTCTGGATCGTTACTCTTTGATATGTATTTTTCCAGAACAAGGTTTAGCTCAAATCCTTTTTTTTCTCTTACACCTTAATCTGTTTAACCTTTTGTAGCAGCAACACTATTCCCTTGTACTTAGGCAGAAAAAATTTTACTGGAGTTTGACCCATTACTTTTGGGCTGCATCGCACACAAATACAAAGCAAATTAAATGTACATTTGCTCTCACGCTACAAAGTAAATGAGCTGAATATCTGTGGCTTAAGGCCATGGCTTGTATGTGCATATAGTTCACTGTAAGAAATGTTTGGAGTTGCGTAATCCAGCATCATTCAACATTCAAACAAAATGGGCATAACGACATTGCCACTACATAGTGAATGAGAGGCCATCTTGTTTATCCTGGACTTGAGCCATGGGTATACAAATGACAACTTTATAGCCAAGATTCTGCCAATTTGCTTCAAGACTATATTTGAAAACTTGACTTTTAAGACAGGTTTTATTTTAGATCTTAACACTCAACAATGATACTTTAATGTCATAAAGTGACATACAGCCCCCATGCCATTCATATTGAAAGCTGTAATAATCTGCCCTATTTAAAAGAAGCAGAAAAGTGTTAGCGAATCATAGAATCATAGGATGGTTGTGGTTGGAAAGGACCTTAAAGATCATTGAGTTCCAACCTCCCTGCCATGGGGAGGGACACCCTCC